GGGGGGGGGGGGATTGGAATAAATAGTACTCATTTTCCATCACAAGTAACTAAAATATTTAGTAAACAAATTCAATGTAATGAATCTCTAATAAAAAGGTCTCCAAAAAGTCTCTAATTGATTAAACACAGAGATGTTTGGCAACAAGCTTGTTTTACACCATTTTTCATGCAGTAAATAGTAAATACACCACCATTGAAAAGTTTGGGGGTCGGTAAGACTTTTCAAAATGTTTTTAATGTCTTCCTGTTGATTACAGAACCGGCTTTTTTAACAAAATGCGCATGACAATCGCATTCGATTAATCGTGCAGCCCTATCTCTTATGCTCACCAAGTCTGCTCTTATTTGATTTGATTATAAAAAAAACTGATATTGTGAAATATTATGATTTATAGTAAGTGTTTTCCATTTTAATATACTGTATTATAGCTAAATTTTTTCTTCAGACATTACTGCAGTTTTCAGTATCACATGATCCTTTAGAAATCATTCTAATATGCTGATTTGGTGATCAAGAAACATTTTATATTATTATCAGTGTTGAAAACGGTTGTGTTGCTTAATATTTTTGTGGAAACCATGATGCATTCTTTTCAGGACACTGATCAAAAGAAAGTTCAGAAGAACAACATTTATTTGACATCTTTTGATTAATTTCTATTATTACATAAGTATTCATTTCTTTCAAGAATTTTCATACGAGCGCAGTGCTTAATTTAGTATTTATTTTATGTGGGAAAATTCCACTAGAACCACACTTATTTTAGACTAGAGGGTGAGTTGGGTGTTTGAATTGTCCCTCCCTCTCTGTGTCTCTCACCAATCACTAATCATATATGGGATAAGATGGATCCAACGAAAACGTTAAGACTCACCCACATGTAACGGAAAAACCAAAGTGTGTCGATCTCAATAGGCCACCTTTGTGATGGAAGACTCTGATAAATGAGTCAGTGACTTGAACAGAAAGGGAGTTAAAATGTAGTCCACGAGCTCCGATCCATGAATACATCCTTTCATTGATTTCCTGGTATTCCACTCATTTTTGGACCCCGAAATATCCTTAAAAGCACCCTGTCAAGTTGAACCAAGTCTAAACAAGGAAGAAAAAGCAGCCTCCAAAAAAATGACAGAATACATCCACGGATCAGCTTCTCTTTTGTGTGTGCCCGTCCCAAAGACCTCCGAAAACTGAGAGAAAGCAAGAAGAACCAACTGGTTCCTCATCATGCGCTTGTTAGCTTGTCCAATCTTTGGCAATCAGCATCGTCCCTGGGGCTGAAAGACATAAGACTCCAGGGAAGCAGGGGAAGCCAAAGCTGAGGAAAGATCAATACGGCACTGTGAAACAAGAAGTGGAGGCTATTTACTTTTCATTGATCCGATGATGCTGGAGAAACACCTCGGTCTGCTGTTAAATTGAGGGAATAAGTCTTTGGGGCTGGTGGGGTTTCTTCTCGCAACAGTCAGGCTCCAAGGTCAAGAGAAAAGCTAAACACAAATAAAACCGGGCAAAAATATAAAGTGTTTAGGTGAATTAATTTAACACAATTTATTAAAACTTCACAGGAATGTGCACAAGATTGAAATATGACGTGATTAAACTCAAAGCCACAATTAAAAGCGCAATGAGATAGTATGGGCCAAAAGGGATCCCCGAACCACAAGGGGTTCGTGAGTGGAAGAAAAGCTTCTCATTTAAAACATTATAATTTAGACCATAAAAATATAAAAATAAATCATACAAACAAAACAAAATAAAACAAACTATTTTTGTTACTTGCATGTCATATGACCATTAACCAACATCAGAGGTCCATGATCATTGCAGACGTGTTGTTAGGCGTTGTTTGCGGAAAAAAATTGGGAAATACCTAGATTAGTATATAGGAGCATGTGTTTGGATTTAGATTAATGTTTACAAGTCAAATTTGATTTTATATTGTGTTAAGTATTTTATATGATGGCCATCTGTCCTAGTATTTTGAAGACCCTATACTGTAAACAAAAATAATAATAATAATCAATTAATGAAATCTGTAAAAATAGGACACAATGTACTGTATTAATATGAACAAATATTCCGTATTTATTTTTACATGTGTTTTACCTACATTTTGAATTTTGCACTTCACTGCAATGTTTTATGGTTAATGGAAATGTCTGTACATTTTTTTAAGAAGTGTAAAAACAGTGTATGAATTTTATTTCACATGATCACCATACAGTAAATAGAACATTTTAAGAATTTTCACCATTTTTATAGGTCACCAATCAAATAATATCTTGTGAAATGTCATTGAATGCTGTCTAGTATAACCCTGCCACTTTTTTTTGCTTTTTTGATAGTGTCAAAGCAATCCCCTTATAATAATCTACTTAAAGATTATTTAAAGAAAATAATAGGCCAAGCAAGCAATAATAAAAAAATGTACGTCTTTAACACCCTCACATTTTTAAGAGTCCCGCAACAAATTACAAGCAAAACTACTAATGTCATTAAATATTTGAAATTTACACACATAAAAACAATAGTATGCTGTCATTGTAGAAAGATGTTTTTTACCTCCACAATGGTGTAGTTATGGCACATCCCAGCAGGGTCTAACTAGCCCAGACTAACTAAACATTGACCTCTTGGTATGATTTGAATAAACCATTGAAATTGTGGTGACCCCAGGGCTCGCAAAACTTCAAAATCCCTGGTAGCCCTTCGGGCAGGCATTTTTCAGATTTTGGTAGCACAACAATGAATTTAACTAGCCTGAATAAAAGATATTGTATTTTTTCTTCAAATAATAAGTCTAGAGAGTAGGGGTGCAATGGATCACAAATCTCACGGTTCGGATTATATTACATTATCATATCACATTTTGATCATTTTTCAGATGAGCAAAAAAACATGGTTCTTTATTATTTAAGTAACACTTATTATTTAAAGAACAATTTACTACTTCGATACCACAGCAAAAACTAGTAGCATATAGGGATGTAACGATTCACTCAACTCACGATGTGATATGATTCACGATACTGATTTCACAATACAATTTTCTCACAATTTCTTTAACAAAATGAGATTTAAGACAGATTTTAAAAAAGGTGTCCTTTTGTTATTTCTCAGACCAAAAGGCTGCGCATTACTTTGTGAAATTGAAAGTCAAACAATATACTAACTTGAAATTTTAAAACAAATCCCAAATCAAATAAATAAATAATACAAATAAATGTCTCCATGCAAGTGTAACCCCTCTCTCCCGGGTCCTCACCGCCGCACCTCGTTCTTGTTCCGAGTGGGTCTCGAACCCAGGTCTCCGGCATGGGAGGCGTAGGCACTAACAAGGAGGCTAAAGAATGTGTCAGTCGCTAGTGTGTCTCTTGAGATCAGGGGAGTGAGGTTTACCTGCACAGCACCTACTCGCTGGCCTCCGTTACACAAGTAAACTAAAGCCTGCGTATTTTAATCACGATCTAAACAAAGATGCTGCATACATGTTATTCAGATTGTAAATTTTTTTTATTTGAAACAAAAACAAAATGGTATGACTTTAGCTTTGTGATACTACGTAAAAAATCTGAACGAAACAAAAACAGCAGATGGGTTGAAAGACGCAAATGTCACTCTCTGACAGCAGGTGGCGCTTAAACAGCAGGTATTTATAGGCTGCTGCCCCTTTAAGACCGAATGCACGGATCCAATATAAGTATGAACTTGTGATTTCTTTCTCCACTGTTTACGTTCATTTAAGACATGAAAATACTTGCCGAGATAGTTATTTTGAGATAATTTTGCGTGTATGTGTCCGTTCAAGCCAAAGAGGAATCAATTCTGTGTTCGTGCTCAGCCTGAAACGCCACTCTGTATGTGCGCGCTTTGAGCGTGTGCGCGCGAGGACCGAACTGAATTCTTCATGCACATGAATGGTTTAAAACGCTTGAATGTTTAAATTGGTAAGACTTGTAAATGAAGAAACACGTGTAAATGATAAACTATGATCCGTTTGACCCCTACAAGCGAGTGAACAACGCGAATCAAGGAAGGGATTTTATATCACTATTCAAGATAGCCCGTCGGGCAAGGCAGTGATACATTTTGGTAGCCCGACTGGAAAACACAATAGCCCCGGGACGTCGGACTAGCGATTTTGCAGCCCTGCCACAAACCTACGAGGAACCAAAAAAACATTCACAACATGGATCTGCATTTGTGTTTCTTTCTTTCAGCATCTGGAGATGACCCATTAGTCTCAATCTTCTGATTGCATGTTGGAATGCAGATTATGTTGTTGCTCATCAATGACCTTATAATGAGCACATTAAGCCAAAACCTGCAGGTGTAACAGAGCTATAGAATGTCCACATGTGAAGTTGTGAAATTAACGATTAGATACAGGAAAGTAATTAGGCCATGTTATTTCCTGTATGCTTCATTAAAAGTACTGATTAAATAGTATGCAATTATTTAGAACAGCAGTACATTAGAGTACAAGGTCAAGTCTTAAAGGGCCAGTTCGCCAAATGTTTTTTTTTTTACCCACCCTCATGTTGTTAAAAAACCCTACAATTGTATTTCTTGCGTGGAACACAAAAGGAAAAAATCTGATGACTATACCATCATGACATACCGTCATTATTTTACAAGCAATTACAAATGAATCAAGTACAAGTATGAAAAGCACCATGAAGTGTTATAAACTGAAATGTAAAAAGCATGGAAAAGAGTTTCAAAGTTCTCCTCTTGTGTTCCCCTAAAAATGTGCTGATGGCTGCTCAATAATAATAAAAACTTTACCATACAGAAAAACAAAAAACAATGACAGTATTATCATAAGCACAGAAGAGATTTGATTTACCCATCATGTATTTTTTTTTAATTTAGTCGACTGCAGTTGCAACTTACTCCAAAAGGTCGGTCACACTCTCACACACCCTTTTTTCCCCTCCTTCCCAATTAACCCTCTCAAACAGCTTAGATTACATTAGCTTTGAGTTCCCTCACACCCTCCACTGGACTCACACAGCTCGAACAATGAACCCTGACTTGCTTCACAAATCTCCCCTTCAGCTAGGCACAATTATGAATTCAAATAAGGCTGATTCAGACTCTCTCATGCAGCACACTGCCTCTCCCATGACAAGCCCTGGTAATGAGGACTTTAAGCAGGACCACACAACAAGAGCATCGGCTGAACAGCCCCAGGCCCATTCACCACCAATGGGTCAATTTAGGTGTTGCATTCATCAACTGCAATGCCCACAGATAACTCCATCTGTTAACATTATCAAAAAAATAAATAAATAAGTTAGAAAAATGGAATTTGAATTACCCTGGGTAAGAGAGAACAAGTGTGTGGAGAGGCTTTCACAAGTTTTTTTTTTTTTTTAAGATAATACTTTTCAGCAAGGATTCATTAAATCTATCAAAATTGGCTGGAGAAAAAAAATTAAATTTTTCAACAACAAAAAAATCATAATACCATCAGTCATAACAACAAGAAATGTTTTTTTTATGCCACAAAAAAATCATAATACCATCAGTCATAACAACAAGAAATGTTTCTTTTATGCCCCAAATCAGCATATTAGAATAATTTCTGACACTGAAAACTGAAGTAATGGCCATCACAGGAATAAATTACATTTTATAATACATTCAAATAGGAAATAGTTAATTTAAATTGTAATATTATATACTGTTAGTACATTGTATAGATTTTCAGCTTTGGTACGACTTCTTTCAAAAAGATTTTAAGAAACATGTTTACTGTATTGCTGTGTATTTTCGTATTTTGTGTTATATTGTGTAAAGTATATGTATGAGTAGTATACAATGAATGTCTGTTGCAATCTCCACATTTAAACCTGAAAATAAATAGAATGTTTTAGAATTTTTCACTATATGTAGGTCACTAATCGAATAATCAAATTTGTGGCACTGATCATGTGACTCCTTGTATAGGGGATCAGATGTTTCTGCTTCCTCTTTTGCCCAAGATGGTCTTTACACAAACTTATTTTAAGCACCTTCAGTGCTGATGTCATTTACAAAAAAAAAATACTAAGAAATTTTAAAGTGCATACATTTTTTCAACTCCACTGCATTGAAGTGAAAACTATTATTTCTGTGAAAACAATTATTTCATCTGACACTGAGTCTGCCAATCAATGGAGTGATAATACTGAAATGTAACACAATGTATTGTTTAATAACAGGCAAAATTCAGATGTGTTACTGTATTCAGCAAACATGAGCGATCACAATCACTAATTTTTTAGGAGGGCTGAGATGAAGGACTCTAGTGTGTACATAAAATACACCTAGAGATGACATTTGGACCATAAGACCATAAAAAGCACTGTTAGCTCAGCCAAGCAACCATCCAACTACAAACCCTGAGAGGATTTTATGAGCATGCAGAGGATGAAAAAAAAAAATCAATTGAACAAATGTACTTTTCTAGACTTTCTCCAGCACAGGTGAGGAGAGTGAGGTAATCTATAGATGATAATGAGTGCAGATGGAGATGGAGAGGGAAAAGAAAAAGGTTGTAATCTACCCATCATGAGTCTAAATTGTTACATTTTTAGTGAAAGGACATTCTCATGTTTCTTTGTCCAAGCAAGTAATTTCCCCTCTCTTTCACCAGTGTGGCTTGCCATGGCAGCATTTTCTGCAACACGGAACACTCTCCCTTCTATTTCAATAGGACAGCTCATTTGCCAGACAGTGAACCGAACTGCTGACTGAGTCTTTTAGACTGTTAGAGAGAGAGAGAGAGAGAGAGAGAGAGGGCAGAAGCGAGAGAAGGAGGGAGCAGGAGAAAAGAAAGAATATGAGGAAGCATTGTATCATTACTAAGAAAGATCACTGGACATTATGAAACACAGCATTGCAAGGTCATGAACATTTTTTCCCCTCTTGTCTGCAGGATCGCCTCACTAACCTCTGCTCTTTTTATCATGGTTACATTTGTTAGCTAGCTACTCATATCAAATATTAGAATATTAGAAATGAGTTCAAGGGATAATTTATTTGCCAGACAGTGAACCGAACTGCTGACTGAGTCTTTTAGACTGTTAGAGAGAGAGAGAGAGAGAGAGAGAGAGGGCAGAAGCGAGAGAAGGAGGGAGCAGGAGAAAAGAAAGAATATGAGGAAGCATTGTATCATTACTAAGAAAGATCACTGGACATTATGAAACACAGCATTGCAAGGTCATGAACATTTTTTCCCCTCTTGTCTGCAGGATCGCCTCACTAACCTCAGCTCTTTTTATCATGGTTACATTTGTTAGCTAGCTACTCATATCAAATATTAGAATATTAGAAATTAGTTCAAGGGATAATTTTAGGGTGCACTGAAAAAAAGGTGTAGAAACTATTTTAGCTAGTTAATTTAACAAACAATTACAAAGCAATGGCAAATAACACATTGAATTAAACATGACATTTTTGAAATAGTATATTCTTATTACTCCAATACTCTTTCTATTATTTACATATTTTCAAAAACTCATGTTTACATTGTGGACAAGAGAACTAAATACAGAAAAAGCTCCAGTTCTTAACTAGCTGGTTAAAGAGCAGACCTGTATAAAACCAGGTGCAAGCGTGTGTGAATCATGCAGTGTGTTGATTAAATCCAGCCTTTAAAGGGGTCTCACATCTGGCAAAATGCCCATTGAGAAGTCCTTGGATGGAGAGAAACAATGCACAAACACACACAATAAACCCACTTCATGTTGTGCGTAATCCCGCCAACAACCCTTCATGCATCCACTCAAGGACGTTTCCCGGCCCCCGCTAACAAGCGGGCTGTGCAATTAGCCTGCTCATCAAAATAATGATGGATAGCCAGTAAACATGCCCACCACCACTCTACAGAGACAAACACACACACACAGTCTACATTCCAGCATTTAACACTTGAACCAAAAACATTTCAACCTAATTAAAGAATTAATTTAGTCATAAAATTCATTCATTTGAAAGTATCATAAAAGTGATCCACAAAATCAATTTAAGATTTTGCAATTTAAGCCACAAATCAAGTAAGAGGTTAACCACTAAGTAAGAACTTTAGCACTGGTTCATTTTGATTCAAGAACAAGTCATTCATACAGAGATGCGCTTCATTTGACCATAAGTGCCCTACAAAGTGGACATTACAGGGTATTCCTCCATCTTAAAGGAGATTCCAATCCAAATGTTCACTAAAAAGGGCACTGTGAATGGCACAGAAAAAAAAACACCAGCATTTGTTTTAATCAAACTAAACCTTGCCATCTTATTTTCTTATAAAGCATTACAACAAACATTCAGCATTTTAATATGACAGATTATGTGAATTAAAATTTATAATAAACTAATATTTTCCTAAATGCACATGGATGTATCATATACCAATGTATACTACACTAAAGCATGGTAATTTATATTTATTTACAGAAGCATATTATGTCATCCTACCTCAAACTTCTTAAATATACACGACCAACGAATATCCTCTTCTTAGTGAACAGAAAGCAGTGAACACGGTGTAGGGACCTGTGAATTGAAACAGCTCAGTTTTGTTAACTGTATCAACTGATTTGTTAAAAAAAAAGATCTGACTGAAATAAATGGTGTACACCAAAAAAATAATAATGATTTAAACTCAGTCAGCTGAAGTTCCTTACCAAAAACATAAAATAGGTAATAATAATAATAATAATAATAATAATAATAATGGCTTTAGTAGGGCCCTATGATTTCCGCCATGTGTAAAACGTGGACGGAATAGCAGAATCCAGTCATAACAATGGAATTTACTGGAATGTCATGGAATTTGTCATTATTACATAATGTTTAACTGTAAACCCATTACAGTTGTTTTAAAGCTAAAAGGCTAAACTATTCTATGTTTGACTCAAATTGAAAGAATAAAGAGTTGAATTTCTATTGTCTATGCTTTAAGGTTTATAGGGATTTTAAGATGTAGCCTAATTAGCGATTTTAATAATTGAGTTAGTTATTGAGTAACTCAACTTACTTTTCAGACAATTTCACATGAAGAGTGCCGTTTTTCCTCCAAAAAGGTCCATGATTACAAATGTGATATAGATTTTTTGTTTTTTTTACAACAGTTCAATAAACAAGAAGTTAATTAAGAGACTTTCGTTTTAGACACCATATTTCCTGTTTTTGCTCTATTTTGACAACAAAAATAATCCCAAACACCGCCACAGCACTGTTTTGCGTCTCTGAGCAACATGACAGTGTTTCGTTCCTTAATGAATCAACCAATTTGGTTCAATCGCAATGACTCCCTTAACAGTGACTTGCTGACACCTACTGGCGGTTTTAATTTCACATTTAAAGTATCTTTTTATTATTTAAATAATTTCAAATATCAGTATTTAACGTTTTATGTTTAATAAATCACAACATTATTTATGCATTTGTAATTGCAGGTTAAATGCATTCATGTTCTGCACTAAAAAGCGTGTAAATATACCTAAATGCCTCTTCAGATGCAGCTTCTGTGTTTCCTCTGCATTGCAAAGATGAATTTTGTTGATACTGATGATTTCATTTGCTTGATAACAGCCCAAATGTCTTATTATTCTAATTCACTGATTAAATGTAAGAATTTTACTCAAAAGGTGATGCATACTTTTAGAAAAAATGGCTTTATAAAGGTAAAAATGCTCATAAAATGTAAAACTCAATTTAAACTTATTGGAAAATATTAATTTCTATCAATGTGAACTGACCACCACACAGAATATGAAAAATAACAAAAACTTTAGGAGTCAGCTGTCTACGGCAGTCCTTAAAGTATAGCACAATAACACACTTAGCAAAATATCGTCTAATTATCGTTATCGATAAAATCCCAGAAAATGTCGAGATATTTTTTGTCAATATCTCACACCCCTACGCTATATTGATATGCGTATGCCCAGCAGTTTTTGCTGTATCCCTTCTAGCCTTAAAGGGGTCATATGATGCGATTTCAATTTTTCCTTTCTCTTTGGAGTGTTACAAGCTCTTGGTGCATAAAGCAGATCTGTAAAGTTGCAAAGACTAAAGTCTCAAATCCAAAAGAGATATTCTTTATAAAAGTTAAGAGTCAGCCACGCCTACCTAAAACGGCTCGTTCTAACACGCCCCAACATACCTACATCGCTCTGTGGGAAGATTTGCATAACACCGCCCAAATGTTCACGCAAAGAAAGAAGGCGTAACTTTTATTAACTTTTATTCTCGCTGTAGTATTGTTTCCGCCGCCATGTCGTGAAGGCGTTGTGTGCTTCGTTGTGAAAGCGAAACTACTTTGTTTTGGTCTTCCAAAAGAGGACATGACTACAAATCAGTGGTTAAGTTGTATTTACAACACTGTTCCAGAACAGTTCAACCCAAATATTCAGATGTGTGCAAAGTGCATTTTGCGGAGGATGTGTGTTTGTGTGTATATGTATATATATATATATGTATGTGTGTGTGTGTGTGTGTGTGTGTATATGTGTGTGTATGTGTGTGTGTATATGTTTGTGTATATGTGTGTATGTATATGTATGTGTGTATATGTATATGTGTGTGTGTGTGTGTATGTGTTATATATATATATATATATATATATATATGTATATATGTGTGTGTATGTATATGTGTATATGTATGTGTGCATGTGTATGTATGTGTATATGTGTGTGTGTGTGTGTATGTGTGTGTATATGTGTGTGTGTATATGTGTGTGTGTATGTGTGTGTGTGTGTACAGTATATGTGTGTGTGTGTATGTGTGTGTGTGTGTATATGTGTGTGTGTGTATATGTTTATGTGTATGTGTGTGTGTGTGTGTGTGTGTGTGTGTGTTTGTGTGTATATATGTGTGTGTGTGTATATGTGTGTATAATACACAAAATAATGTTATTTTTAGCAGCATCATATGACCCCTTTAACTTGAATATAGTGCATGAGTAATGGACTAAATGCATGATACTTTTAAGGAGCTTTTTTGCTGTTGTTTTTTTAAGTACTTCCATAACATTGAAAAGAGTAGCCAGAATATTATTCTTAAAGTCATCCAGTAACATAGGATTGGAAGGCCATGAGGGTACATGATGACAGCATTTACATTTATAAGTGAACTATCCTTATAAAGAGTAGCCTAATTAACATGGTTTCACGAGTTTAAAAGGTGATAATATATTAAATTTGGAGTCTGACGTACTTTCATTTAGCTACGCACTGGTTAATAGAGATGTAGCTACAAACATTTGTGCAGTCACCTCTTCAACTCAACTAATTAGCCTAATGCTATTTTACTAGGCACTTGAAATGTCAACACATTTGTAGATTTAGTGTAAACTTAAATTTCATTACCTAGCAGGCATTATTGCTCAGCGAGTTGAGCTGATCTCTCCCCCGGGCCTGATATGTTTCCCCTGCTCTGTCATCTTGCTAACCGTTCTGTCCAGACCAACTTAGAGCCCCATAATCCACCACAGGGATCAATAAACTGCACATAATTCAAGACTAATAATGAGCCTTCAGTACCACGCAAATGGTCAGCTACTCTAACGGAATGGAAGGCGTAAAATGATAATGTAATTATTAAAAGGACAGATAAAACGAGCAGGCGCTCACTCTCTCATATTGGAAAGGCTAAAGTCAATTAGCAGCACTTGAAATTATTGTTATTCTTTAGCCGGCTGATTGGGGAGGAAGTTAATGTATCTGGCGCCCAAGGTAAATGTAGGACATGACTTGCAGTGCCAAGAGCAGCACAGTTATGTTACGGGCAATTGGAGAGTAATTGTATACACACAGTGTGCTATAAATGTGCTTTGCTATTTACTGTAGCCTAATGGGTATAAGACTAATCTGCACACGTTTTCAAACAAGTTAATATTGACAAGAAAATGACTTGCTCAGGTACTACTATAAGTGTGTTTCTAAAAGATCTTGCTATGCAGCAACATAAATATGCTGAATCATTGTTTTTCCTCCATTGAGAGGCGTTAGTGCACATAAACCCATATTGTTTTTTATTATAGTTTTATCAAGTCAAGGCTACAGTTATTAAAATGTCTTGCTTTTAACGTCACATTATTGGGTGTTATATAGACATTTTTGGCCCAACTACCATTCTCAATAGTTTAATTTATTTGTGGTACAACAGTGAACGTGCCATTCAAAGATTTGAGGTCAGTAAGATTTTTTTTTCTCCAATTTACATTTTTATTAATTTTTTTATTTTTTACATCCTTTATGTAATTTTTTTTCAAGGACATTAATGCTTTTAGCAGCAAGTACACATTAAGTAGTTCAAAATAGACAGTAAAGACATTTACAATGTTCTAAATAAATTTTTTTTGCATAATTTGGCAAAATTACAGCTTGATACGCACAATAAAAATATACTGCTCACAGGTGATATTTGCCTCCTTAAATTGCATTGTTCATGTTTCATTTTTGAGGGGCAGTTATAATTTTTCATACAATAAATATTTGAAAGATGCATTATAATTTCACAGTTTAAAAATGTAATAATTAATATTATTATAATTAATTTCCATACATTAAGTTTAAAAGTTTAAAATCATTGGATAAGGGTTCAACCAAATTTATTTACAAGTAGCAAAAATGTAAAAAAATCCTGTTAACTATGATTCCGAACTTCTTGCAAAACATTCATACAACCATTTCAAACTAAATTGAGAACCACAGAAAAAGATGACCATCTTAACAACAGGTCCGTCCTATATTACAGTATATGTAAATGTGTAATCTTGCCATGGCACCTCTGCCAAATGACTTCTCTTTGATTATACGCATCCTAAAATAAAATAGCAGATCTAAATTAGTAAAATTCACTGGAAATACAGTGAACGTTGTGCCATTTGACCTGCCGAGTGAGAACGCGAACATAGTTGTCTTTTCCACCAGGCTGCTTCCTCCTAATGCGCTAAATGTTTTGGCTAGCACAAAATGTCACCCTTCCCGCCGAGAGGACTGGCATTTGAAGTTGGTTTTGTAAACCCTCCGGCCAGATCGCTGAAGGCAGAACAGCCGCTACATCACCCTTCCCGCCGAGAGGACTGGCATTTGAAGTTGGTTTTGTAGACCCTCCGGCCAGATCGCTGAAGGCAGAACAGCCGCTACGTATCCAAAGAGCATGAAAGAGGTGAATGTGTCTGAGAGGAGCATCAGTTGATAACACCAGAGAACGAATGCCACAGACCCACATCACTCAAAAGCAACGAGGACAGCTTGTTTCAGGGTCTGTTAAGTATGTCCACGCCAGTGGGGGATTCAAAGTAAAGCACAGTGCGAATGCCACAGACCCACATCACTCAAAAGCAACGAGGACAGCTTTTTTCAGGGTCTGTTAAGTATGTCCACGCCAGTGGGGGATTCAAAGTAAAGCACAGTACTCCCAGGCCTTTCAGTGTCTAATTCTGAGGCTGACAAAGGCCTTGATTGAAGCTAGAAGTCTCTGAGCTAAGCAGCCTGACAGGATAATAGGACATCTGGAACAGATGTTTACTCCCCCATT